CAAAAGGAAGAGTGCCGACTGCCTCTCCCCAGGCTGCTGACAGCTCTTAATTGCTATTACACTCACTGGGGCAGCCCTGGTTTTTAAAGCTGGCATTTTCCAAGCGTTTTGCACCCAGAGCTGAGGCCAGCACGGCAAATGCAGGGTTAGGAGCAGCTCCCACAGCAACAGTGGCTTGCACATAGTTGCCACTTACTTCGAAAACCTGGCCCAATTACAGATGCCGAGCTTTTTTGCAGATCTGGCCCTTAAAGCCTGCTCCTGTTCCCATTGCAATCAGTGGCGATGTTCTGATTGATTTAATGGGGGCAGGCACAGAGATTAATTAGAAAATTGGTAACTGCAAGGAAGGGAGAAAATGCGCAACAGCCTGCCAGATCTCTGGTAGGAAGCAAGCAATGGAGACAGTTGTCCTTAAGACAGACATTTTAGCCTCTGTCTCTCTCTCTCAAAAAAAAAAAAGGATAATAAAAGAGATTGGCAAGATGGCCTTAAAGCTGCTCTTAAACATCTTGTATAATATATAATTGCTTTTCAGCTCTTGAGTACTCTATCTACCTTTTAGATCTGTCCCCTGGGAAGAAAATATGAAACATGCTCAAAACCACAACCCGTAACAGCAATTGGTATTTTCAACTTTTCTTTTGTGTTGGGAGGCAATTAAAACTTTGCTTAAAACTCCTTGCTCTTTGACAGGTACAAAGATGGATCAAGCCTAAGGTGTGTTTTTCATATTAGTCCAGCTGGGGACCAGAGAGGCATTTTTCACCAGCTCTTGGGTTTTAATACTGAGATTCTCAATTCATTACTGTATGAAAAATCCTGATATCTGGAGGCTTACAGTCACAATGCTCCAGAATTTTTATTTGCTTTGAGGATTATCTGCATTCATGGAGGGCCTGCATAACAGACTCGGGGGCTATTTCTACACTGGTAAGTGCATATATCTGAATGCAGGATCACCAGTGCCAAGCCAAGCTGTGCAGTGTTAACCCTGGTGCGGTCTCATCCATAGTGCTTGGGAACTAATTATCCCTTGAGCAAACTATCCCCCCTGACGATGTTTGAGCTTGTTTTGGACAGAAGTATCTGATTAATACTTAAAGAGAGCCTGGGCATCAACAATTGTTTGTGTAGCATGGGCAATAAGAGGATCAGGACCTGGGAATATGCTATGAGTTATTTGATAATATAGATATACCTGAAGTGTTGTAGTCCTCAAGGGGAACAGTTAACTCGGGTAGGTTTTGTCAGAGCTAAACACTGGGTTGTGTTTAGCCACAGTGAAGCCATCTTATTCTGTGCTCAAATGAGGAAAATGTCAGGAGCTCAACAGACTTGACCCCCCCTTCCAGTGGGGGAACCAGGCTACACATATGTATCAGTTGCTGGCTGTGATAACTATCTGAGATGTTGGCAGCCAATCCATAAGAAGAATTCCCTGTCTAAAAAATCCCTCACATTCAGAACAGTGTCCTGTCAGAGTTTAATGCTAAGCTAGCAGCAATGATGAAAGAAACCAAAAGCTGTAACTTTTCAAATTTCCAAAGCTCCAGAACAGATTCTAATTCAGCTAACAAGGTGTATCAACCTAGAATTCAGTACAAAAGGCAATATGCAGCCAAAACTCTTGATGTGGGCAGAAATTTTGCCTGTGAGAGTACTGTGAGGCAGGCCCTTAGGACCAGCCAACTCTTGGCAAAAACTATGCCTTACCTTTCTCCTGCACACAACCCATACTGCCTCATCGCTGTGATGGCTGTGTTAGCAGAGAGCACTCATACAATCTCTACAGTCTCCTGCCTCTGGAACAACAGTACAAAAGCAAACCATCACAGGGGTTGAAATGAGGTAGCAGAAACACCTAGGTGTCAGGACAGTGTACAACAGCTTGCTTCTGATGTAAAGCTGTTCAGACACACAGAGTGCGTGCTGTGACAATTCCTTTCTGGGTGCAAGCTCAGGCCCTTACTATGGAAAAAGCAAGTGTTTCCAAGCAGAAATCTCTCAGCTGAGTATGCTCAGGAATTGTTGCACTCTGGCAAGAGCATCATTTCTTGGTGCTTACAAAATCTCCTGAAAATGGCATTTGTTAGAAGGGTATGGCTAACATCACAGTAGTAGCGCTACATTATTTATATAATATCCTCAGAAAATTTTGTGTGTGTACCAGGGTGACACTGGTTCTCAAACCTACATTCAAGTGTCTTCCTAACAATCTTCTCTTCTCTAATGTTAATAAGAGTAATATGCTGTAATGGTCCATCACTGCTTAAACCCCCAAATATTATGAGCTGCTCCCATTGTCTGGCTGCCATTCATATATTTTTGTGTTTGACTCATGGACATCTTCTGCCATACATACTCACATTGGTTAGTACCTCAGGGCTGCACCACCCAGCATCTTGCTGATTGCAGTGCAAATGATTTAGCCTGCAAGGAATTCTCTGTATCGACATACATGCCATTTACTTTCAGAGGTCGGCAGACTGCAGGGATGTACCCCCCAATTTATGAGAACATAGACTGAAACTACAAACAAAACACATCAGAGCCATCATCCAGTTTTGCTTGTACTAAGCCATAGTCTCAGCGCTTAAGAAATAAACAGGGTAAGCAAAGAAATGACAAGGCAATAAAGCACAACCTGGCTTACTGCATTTACTCACAGGAACGGGGTTTTGTTTTGTTTGGGGTTTGCTAATGTTTTTCAAACTGCAACCGTATTTCCTGTAAAGAATGCAGCTAATTCTGTGGCATAAGCAACCGTGGAACTTTGTTGTTCTCCTGACAGCATACTGAGATGCACCAAGAGTTACAGACCCGAAGGTGAGACATTCTCTAACTAGCATAAAAATGTGGGGCAGCGCTGCAGTTTTCTGCCTGGATATTCATAACAGCAGGTGTGCCCACATAATTCTCTGGTTTTCCCCTGCTGTGTATTGTCTCTGAGCCACACTTTGAGGAAAGTAACCAGGCAGACTTTTACAGGCCATGAGGGAAAGGGAGAAGCTGAAGGGGTAGCAGGATTGGAAGTAGGAAGAGGGGACATTATCTCAGCCTGTATGCAGGACTTGCACCAGCCTAACATCTGTTCTGTTCACAACGAGTGTGATTATCTAACATCATTATAGCAGTGTAGGCTGTAGAGTTTTGGTTGCTAATTGCATGTTGTAGGTGATGATCACAAAACTACTTCCATATAGCTCACAATTATATACTTACAGACATCACAGTACGTAACTGTAGTTCAGGCTGCCATTCATTTTCCATTATAGGAAATAACGTTCTGCCACTCACGCAATTGCCAAGCTGTTCCTTCTGGGCCAGAAGTCTCCATTTCAAGCATCAGAATCAGTATGAATTGTTTAGGAACACTTCAGTCAAAAACTCCTAGCCATTTCCAAGAACAAAATCAGTTAAACTGACTCAGGCTGCTGGTTTTCAATAAATTCTTTCAACACTTCTAATAAGAACAAGCATTTTCAGATGTCATGCAAATATATGACATTTAGCTGGATGGTCTCTGAATGGAAGAAAATATCGCTGTGAAAATGTATCTTTTTGCCCTCTGAAAACTCTTATTTCACACGCAATACCTAGTACAAGCGGACAGTGCCGAGTTCAAAAGTTTTAACTTCATGGTGGGAATTACTTTTGTGTGAGCCTAATACTCACACAACATGCTGAGAAAGTAGAAGGCTTCAGTACGAGGCCATTGCCAGAGTGAAGAGATTAAGAAAAAGAAGTATCCAGCTATCATACAGGGTCAAAAAAGACAGAATATTCCCATTCATCCCCTCTCTCTGCTATTGAAACCAGGTAACTTAAGCTCTTGAAAACTTAGAGGGGGTTCCCAAAGTAGCTTCTATGTGTGTGGCCCCACATACCACATAAAATACATGAATTTATCTAACTTGCACACTGAACTTTATAAGTGCATAGTCCTTTAATGTACTTCAAAACATAATTATACCTGCAATGACAATTTCCTTATGGCTAACATGGGTTGTCCAGATGCGCAACTCCCAGTGATTCGCTTGGGCTTCACAGCTCCAATGCACATACCAGAGGAACCAAAACCACATTTTAAATTTCACTCCCCCTACTGCAACGGCCACTTGTGTACCCTTTCCTACTGGTATGCTTTACCCCATTAGCAGGAGCCAGGAATTTCACGGGTTTATTTAACGCTACTTGGCGTGGCACAACGCCGCTGTTTGTGTTTCTGCAAAAGCGTCCGTCCCTTTGACAGCCTTCCCGAGCAGAGGAGGCAGACCCAGGCCCTGCAGCACCGCTCCCCGTTCCCAAAACGTGACACCCCGCTTCCAGCCCCAGCTTGGCTGACAGGAGCATCTGTCCCAAGCAGGTACCCTGGGCAACTCTCCTTCTTTCCTCTGCCACCGCCATCACCGGGCACGGCACTCTCCAGCGCAGCGGGGGCCAGCTGCAGCACTCACCACAGCGCCCGGCTGGCTGGAGGCTAAAAGCAGCCCCTTTTCCTTGCTGGCTAACGAAGAAGGGCAGAAAATGGAAGGGATGAGAAAAAAACAACCCACAACCCGCTGCGGGGGAGGAAAGGGGCACAACTCCTCCTCACAGACACACGCTCCCCTCCCTCACACCCCGCTCCGGCCGCCAGCCCGTAATGGCGGCGGCGGGCGAGACAGGGCGGGGCCGCCCCTCGGCCCTTACCTAACGGCGGGCGGGCCGGGCCGGGCCGGGCGCCTTATGTAAGGGCTGAGGCGGCGCCAGCAGCGCTGTGGTGGCACCGGCACCACCACCATGTCCTGGTACCGCAACGCCGTGTGGTTCGTCAAGGGGCTGCGGGAGTACACCAGGTACGGGCGGGCAGCGGCGGCCGCCCGCCCCCGGGGAGCGCGGCGGGGCGGGCGCCGCGGGTAGGCTGGGGGCGTTTCTGTGCGTCCGCGGGCGTTTAACCAGTTGGAGGTGTTGGGCTTCTTTCTTTTTTTTTTTTAATACATATTTTTTAATGGCAGCCTCCGCACCCCCGCCAGAGCGGACAGATTTGGACGCCGCCTCTGTCAGAGCTGGCCCGGCGGCGCTGCCTGGGCCCGCCCCGGGTCCTCTCAGGGCCCGCCTGAGGCGGCGGGCGGGCCGCCTCCCGAGCGCCGGGGCGCGGGCTGCGTGGGCTGTGGCCCTCGGTTGGGGCCGCGTCCCTCGTGGCAGTGCCACGGGCACTGCCCGTGACCTGTCCCACGAGTACGGAGAGTAATGGGGGCTGGGGGGGGGGGCGTTTAGCGTGTGCCGGGGTGTGAGGGGAGGGTGCCCTCCCATATGTTTTTTGGAAGTGCCCCCTTCTAGTTTCTCACAGGTGTCTCCGATTTATTTAGGAGCGGCTACGAGTCTGCTTCCAGGCACTTCAATCCAGCCGATGTGGAGGTGAACGTGGCTGGAAGATCCTTTCTGGTCACCGGTGCAAACAGTGGCATTGGCAAGGCCGCGGCCAAAGAGATAGCGAGGAGAGGTGAGGAGGGCTGGAGTGAGGAGCTCTGAGGGGTCGTGACAGAGAAGATGGAAGGAAGCAGGTTTGGCCTTCCGGCGCAAACACAAAGACACAGCTGCCTGGGATGAGGGGTCAGGCATGTTGTTTTACAGGGCTGTTAGTGTGGGTTAGAGGTTTAAGCATGATCAGTGCCATGAAAACTGGAATAACGTAACAAAATTAGTGGAGAGGATCTGCAAAGTGTTTCTCAAGTGCATCTTTACCAAAACTCTGTGTTACAGTGGTATCTAAGGATGTTGGTGATGGATCAAGGTCTGTTTAAGGCTGATTCAGTACAATTAGCAGCCTGGCTGAATTTGAACTGTTTTGGAGAACCTACAGATGTATCATACGATGAAAGAAAACAATTGGCTTTGCTAAGTTGAGATGGGAGAGTGTGAAAGAAGCAATGTAGTTGTGCTTGATCTTAATGACCTGGAGTTTGTGCCCTTTAACTGATTACATGCAACTTTTTTTTCTGTTGCTTTCTGTAAACAAGGAGGTGGTATGAACTGGAACTAGCTGCTGTTGAAGGATAAACCTAATCCCTTTCAGAGTTGACAATTCCTGTTGTGCAAGAGTGATAGGAGTTTTGGCATGTAGAATGAAAGGGAGGAGCTTGCGGCTCTTCGCTCTCTCTTTGCCTGCTTAGGTTTCGTAACTGTCTTATGAAGGAAGGTGGTGACTTGATTTAAATTAAACTAATTCAAAATTATTAGTATCGAAGAGCCTTTGGGTTACAGATCCCCATCAGTGCCAGTATGTGACTGATTTCAGGTTCCCACTACTGCCGTTATAATAGCCTTATGTAAGTATTGCTTTGTCTGGTGACTGTTTTGCTCATAAATAGATATTCCTGCCAGGTTTTGCAAGCTGTCAAGCTGACTGGATCTGCATAGGATTTGGTCACCATATCTAGTATTTGGAGCCCAAAGAACAACCTTGGGCTCAGACTGCTTGCGTGATACCTTGCGTGGGCGTTGCTGTGCATATGAAGCTAAAATGACTTAACAGTGCCTTCCTGATCCTAACCTTGCCTGTGTTGCTCTGAAACTCAGTGTCAGCTCTTGGGGCTCTGGCTTCTAGCTGAATCTCTTCAAGTACATTATGACAAGAAAAGAAGGATTTCAGACTCAGGGAAAAGAGTAACCAGGCTAGGTTGGCTTTACCTTCAAGCACTTCAGATCTTTGTAAATAATGACGGTCTTGATGACAGTTTCTTTACCCGAGTTCAGCTTTTCTCTGAATCAGTGTCTCATGGGTATTGCAGATTTGGGCTTTCCTGCATGTTTTGTGAACTGCAGTTCCAGTTTGACGCAGTCTTCTCCCAACCACTCTGACAATTGCCATGTGTTGTTCAAATAATTTCAACCCTTAACATGGAAAATGCATTCAAATCCCTTTCCTAGCTCATGGGTCACACCAGAACTTCCCTCTCTCCTTAACAGCAAGAAAATGTTCATATCCAAAGCCCTTAAAGCCCACCTCTGTTTTCATTGAATGTTTTCCACTGTAGACTATGAGAATGTTCCTGATCAGCTTGAAGGCCAGCGACTTCCATGTGTTTAATTTGTACCCGCACAGTACTTGTGCTGTCCCCTGTGTTTTGGGAAGAGCTCCTTAAACATCTGCAAATGCACATCCTTAACTGCCTTGAGATCTGTAATTAAAGCCCTCCTTTGCAGTGAAGCCTGCAGTCACTGTGAGAATGGCCAAAGAAGTGAGCACTGGACACTGCCCCTTCTGATAGCCTTTTCTCTCACTCATGAAATCTGTTCTCCCTCGGGCCAAAGACTTGTCTTTCATTCTGATCTGTATCTATTCAGTGCCTGTCTGTGCATGGTCCCTTCCATACATGGTATATGTGTAACAAATTGAAGATGAAACTGTATTAAACATTGATTAGTGTCATTTGTATGATTATCCAAAATTCAAGAGTTTCCCACTGCTGCCTGCAGTTATGCACTTGGTAAAAGTAACCAAGCCGACTCTGGCAGTGCAGTGGAGGAATTAGACCATGCTAGAAAATTTCAGAAGAACCCTGAGGCTTGTTCCTGCTGGGATGCTCCTGTGGTATTTCAGTGACCATCTGACCAGTATGGCCACTACTACTAGCAGGCTATAGATTTCCCACAAGCTGGAATGCAATCACAAAAGGTTTTTTGTTTCATTTGGATTTTATCAAAAAAATAACCCCAAACAAGAACTGCAAATTGCACATCACTTCCTGGCCCTCCCTCTTTGCTGATGCCTCCCCCAAACAGTTGGTAATTATCAAAAGTGTTTCTTGTCGAAATCCACCAGGTGGCACGGTTCATCTGGTTTGCCGAAATAAGGAACGGGCTGAGGTCGCCAAAGGAGAAATAGTGACAGAAACGGGCAATCAGGTGAGCTGTTTTTCAGTCTTTTGTTTACTTTTAGAAAGATTGTTAATATTAAAGACCTCAGAAGCCTGGAGATGCTCTGTTTTGTCATTTTGCTGTTTTTAATAGTATTTTCATACAGACATGGAAACATCTAGTAGTTTATCATTCATATGGTTTGAAGTGATGTAATATCACTAGGTGATATTTTCTATGATTATTAACATCACCAGCAGCATGCTGTTTTACTTAAATATTTGTTGTTGATATGTTTTGTGATGGCCTACTTACTATTCCTAACTATGTGGCTGAGGCTTTTAAAAGCTAATGCACTGCAATACTCTTGCAACAATGTTTATGAGTTTACATCATTTACAGCATTTATGTGTCTGAATAACATGCTCTGGATTTGCTAAGGTTGGTGGCTCTGTGAAGTCCTGTGTGTGGTCCTAGTTCCATGCTCTACATACTTTTCCATCTCCTTTTCTTACAACATCTCCTTCTTACCCCCTCCCTTCTGTTACATACTCTTTTTGCTTCTGAATATAGCACTCTACAGTATACCTCTGTAGCTCTCACTGTTGCTTTTGCTAATTATTCAGGAGGGTGTGCTTATTGAAAAGTGCAGTCATTGGCTTTCTATCTTGGTGTACTAGTTTTGGCTGGGATAGAGTTAATTTTCTTTATAGCAGCTCCTATGGTGCTATGTCTTGGATTTGTGACCAAAACAGTGTTGACAATCCATGTTTTAGTTATTGCTAAACAGTGCTCGCACAGCAGCAAGGCCTCTTCTGGTTCTCATGCTGCCCTACCAGCGAGCAGGCTGGGGGTGCACAAGAACAAGACCTTGGGAGGGGACACCCTGGGACAGCTGAACCCCTAGTGACCAAAGGGATATTCCATACTATATGATGTTGTGCTCAGCAATAAAAGCTGGGGGAAGGGGGGACATTTGCAGTTATGGTGTTTGGCTTTCCAAATCACTGTTGCATGTGATGAAGCCCTGCTTTCCTGGTGATTGCTAAACACCTGCCTGACAATCAGAAGTAGTGTGTGAATTCCTTATTTTGCTTTGTTTGCACATGCAGCTCTGCTTCGCTTAAACTGTCTTAACCCACAAGTTTTGTCTGTTTCACCGTTCTGATTCTCTCCCCCGTCCCCCTGGGAGGGGAGTGAGCAAGTGTTTGTATGGGGCTTAACTGCCTACTGCGGTTAATGCACAACACTTGGATGGAGAGCTGTCTTCAATTTAAGTAGTAACTTGGCTCTTGAATGCAGTATTTTGATTCTAGTAACAGTATTTAATGTGGATCAAAAATTCTGAAGACTTTTTATGGTTAGAGTTACCACATTGACTAGATTTCTGCTCTTTGTGTCACACTAGGGAGCTGAAACCAACCAGCATTACACTTCAGTTCTTTAATGGAGGTGAATTGGGTCAGTCCTTCTGTAGAAACAAATACTTTCCAGCTGTCTTTAACTGTGTAATCCCATGACTATAGTAAGACTGGTGATTATCTGTGTTACCTCCTTTTCTAACTGCAGCCAGACAGCCTGGGAAGAGGGGTGAGTTTGACCTCTGAAGGTTCCTTCATGTTCTGTTTTCTGTCATTTGGTGAAACAAAACTTGAGGCAAATAATGTTCTTCCTCTAAAAGTAACACAATTACTGCATTCCCACTTCTTGGTAGGCTGCAAACCTGTAGTTTCTCTAGTCATGAAAGAGCATGAGGGCACTGCAGAGCTTGTTCGTGACCCTGGGATCAGGGCTCTTGTATAGAAAGCAGCATTCAGTGAAGTGTTAGATGAGCTGTACAAGAGGCCCTGTGGGACATGTGACTGCACTGGGAAGAGTCATTTTAATAAGGAGTCCACAAGAACATCCTTCTTTATAAGTTCTCATTCAGAAGCAATCCAGGGAGATAATAAAATGCTTTATCTGCAACTTGACAAGCTGTATCCAGACTTAACTTGCTCTTCCTGATCATCTGGATGGAGATCCTGTTGTAGTGTATGCCAAAGATTTTTTTTCCATCTTCCACAGCAACATATGCCGGAGTTCAGTGCTGAAGTGGAGTTATTGTTTGGCAGACACCTGCACATAGAACTGGGAATTGGGAAGTTCTCCTAATCTATTAAAGTAGATCTAGTCACGGAGATTAGGTCTCACTTTAATGGCTTTGCTACCATCGAGGACTTTTTTTAGGGAACAGGCCTGTGGGTCCTTTTTCTGAGCCAATGTGACAGTCTTCAGCAGATAAGTGTTGATTTAGATATTCTTCAGTCTGTGAAATCACTTGTAATATTGAACATCTGCCCAAAAAACTTCAGCTCTTCTGTACCAGCAAATAATGGTAGTAGCTTTAAAAGTAGAAAGCTTTTAGAGAGGTATCCATCCAGTTAGAAACAGTAGAGCAGTGTCAAGTTTTTGGTCAGATATTAACATTACGATAAGAAAATTCTGACTGAACTCAACTAAGGAGCTGAAATCCAATGGCTAGAGAAAAAGTCATGTGTTTTTTATCTTCAGGGAAGGAGAATTATAGGCAGGGAATAATGCCTTATAATTTTCTCAGCTTTTTCACTTATCTCATTTGCTTGTATGATAAGTATTTAAAGAAACAACTTGGAAAGAGAGGAGCCCCTTTGATTATTTTTTTTTTTTGCATGAGAACACATCCTCTGCATAATTACTTTAAAACTGCCTTTTCGTGAGATATGTCATAAGACTGTCTGTGGTGCGTCTTTGAGACTAAGTGCTATCTAGGAGAAGTCTAGGACTTGACATGCCTTTTGTATCCTGATAAATGCCACTGTGCTTGTACTAGGTAGAACACAAATCTGCAAAAAGCAAAAGAATTGCTTGTAACAAACAGTAAAAGGTTTCTGATGTTTTGGAGAGAGGAAATATTTCTAGCTTTAGTGGTTTAGAAAATTATAACTTTGCTCTATGTCAGGTTTTTCCTTTTTTTATTCTATTGCATCCACATTCCTGGCCATAGTATTTCAAAACATTGCAAGACCGTTGTGACATGGGGTGGCTAACAAGGACTTAGCAGTTAATACAGCAGTTAGTGTGGAAGGGCGTGCAGAAGGCACCCAACACTGAGACGGCGGAGTGGGCGCAGTGATGCACCTGAAAGCGTGCTCTCCTGTCCTGGTTGGAGCGACTGCGCCTGGCACGTGGGAGGCTGGCCCAGACAGAGCTCCAGAGGAATGATGTGGCAGATGTCGGGCTGCAGGGAGTGACTGGTACTTTTCCCTGAGCCTGGGGCAGAGCATGATGGTGGCCTCATCTGTTGGGTTCTGTTGTGGTCAAGGTGCTGGGCTGCCAGGTGAAGCAACAGCAAGAGATGAGCAGGCTGCATAACTGCAGGGAACAGAAAGAGGAGACTGACAGGGTCTTTGCAGAGAGTAGAAGAGCACAAACCCCACATTGCTTGGAAGGAGGGACAGCTGGAAGCTGTGCTTGAATAAGTAGTGGATAGAGACTCCTAAGATGGGGAGGAATGGAAGCTTGTGACTGCTGGCAACAGAAGGCAGGCTTGTTCTCTGCCTGCAGATGTGCATTTATAAAGATAGGTGTAGTGCCATGGTAACAGATGAGGAAGAACAAGCTCTGTCAGGGGAGGTGTTAGAGACAGGTGAGCCTGAACTGTTGTCGGCACTGGGAGGGAGTGGTGGGTGATAATGGTTGGAAGCTCCCTCCTGTGAGGGAGGGAGGCACCCACCTGCAGTCTTGGCTTGATGTCTTGAGAGGTTTGTCACTTGCTGGGGACTCAGATCTAGGGTATTGTGGAGTGTCTGCTGAGGCTCGTCTGGACCTTGGACTAGTATCTCTTGTTGCCCAACCACATGGGCACCCATGACATGCTGAGGGGTGACCTTGAGTTCATCAAGAGTGCTTACAGAGGGTGAAGGGCATGGGGACCCAAGTAGTGCTCTCCTAAATCCTTCCAGTGAAGGGGAAAGGCTTGGGTAGGAGCATAGGCACCCTGCAGGTCAACACCCGAATGTGCAGCTGGTGTCACTTTAGGCTTTGTCGCTTTGTCTTTGGCTTTTATGACCTCTTTGACCTTCTCTGAGAAATGAGCATTGCTAAGCAGGAATGACAAAGTGGAGCAAGAGTATCTTTGTCAGCAGGTTTTCTAAGCTAGTGAGGAGGACTTTAAACTGGTTTCATTGGGGGATAGTGACCAAACCCAGAAGACTAGTGGCATCACGGGGACAGTGAGTGTGTGTCATGGGGACAGCAAAATGGGGGAGGCTCTCACAGCTTTCATGTGAAAGAAACATAACTGGGAGCCCATCTCAGATGCCTGTACATGAGCACAGCATAAGAAACACAGGAATCTATGCATGGTTGCAGAGCTGTGATCTCACTGGGATTAGAGAGACATGTTTGGCATGACTAGAGTGCTGGCATGGATGTATACAAGCCCTTTTGGAAAGGCAAGCTGGGAAGACAAGGAGGAGGAGTTGTGCTCTATGCAAAGGAGTGGCTTGAATGCATGGGGCTTTGCTCTGAAATGGGTAGTGAGCCAGTTGAGAGCTTATGGGTAAAGCACAGAGGTCAGATCAATGTGGATGGCATCATGGTGGGTGTCTGCTACAGACTGCCTGATAAAGAAGAGTAAGTAGATGGAGCCTTTTTTTAGAGGGCTAGGGAAGCCCCATGATCGCAGGTCCTGGTACTCACGGAGCACTTGAGCAATCCTGATACCTGCTGTCAACACAGCAGGGCATAAACAATCCAGGGGATTTCTGGAGAGCATCGAGGACAATTTTTTGATACGAGTGTTGGAGAAGCCAGCTAGGGGTGATCTCTGCTGGACCTGCTATAAATAGCAGCCTTGAATAGCTGCCTTGGTGGAATGGCCATGAGATTGTGGAATTTAAGATTGAGACAGGCAAGAAGGATGAGTAGTAGAATTACAGTCTTTGGTTTTAGGAAAGCAGATTTTGTCTCTTTTATGGACCTGGTTGGCAGGATCCCATGGCAGACAGCCATGGAGAGCAAAAAGCCTTGAGAAAGCTAGTTGATCTTCAAGGGAAACCTCCTCAAAGCAGGAGGTGCTTCCTGTTAACTGGAAAAAGGCAAACCACTCATCTTCAAGAAAGGCAAGCAGGATCTGGGGAACTACAGGCTGGTCGGCCTCACCTTGCTCCCCAGGAAAACTATGGAGCAAATCTTCATGGAAGCCATGAAAGACAGGAAGGTGATTGAGAAAAAACAGCGTGGGTTTATCAAGGGCAAACCTGGCCTGACTGTCCCAGTTGCTGCCTTTGGCGAGATGACTCTGCCTATGGACAGGAGGAGAGCAGTACTTGCCACTTTCCTTAACTTTGACAAGGCTTTTTACGTGGTCTGCCATGGTATCCTTGTAGCCAGTTTAGAGAGGTGTGGTTTGAACTGGTGGTTGATAAGCTGGGTGGAAAACTGTCTGGAACATTTGGCTCAGAAAGTAGCAATCAACAGTACAAAGCTGATCTGTTAACAATTTTTAAGTGGCATCCTCCATGAGTCCATATGGGGGCAAAAACTGTTTAGTGTCTCTCTTAAAAACTTGGAGGATGGTGCGAAGTGCGACAGTTGTCAGACAGCAGATGATCTCAAATGGGGAGGGAGGGTGGGCAGGGAGCTGGAGAGCAGAGCCACTCTTCAGAGGGACTTAACAGGTGAGGAAATGGGCTGACATGAATCTCATGAAGTTCACCACGCAGAGATTGTGAATCCTGCTCTGGGATGGAATAAGCCCGTGGAGCAGTACATACTGGGACTAGCTGGCTGGAAAGCAGCTTTGCAGAAAAGGACCTGGGGTGACAAGTTGTCCCTGAGTGAGCAGTGTGCCCTGGGGCAAGGAAGGCCAGCCATACCCCAGGCTGTGTGAACGCTAGTCAGCAGGCTGAGGGAAGTGCATCTTCCTCTCTATTAAGCCTTTGTGAGACCACAGCAGGAGTCCTGTGCCCAGCTTTGGGCTCCCCAGGACAAAGAAGTCATTGATGTCCTGGGGCGAGTCCAGCAGAGGGCTGCCAAGGTGATTAGGGAGATGGGACGTGTGATGTGCAAGGAGAGGCCGAGACAGCTGTTTTTGCTGTGTTGAGAAGGCTGAGATGGGTGCTACTGTAGTCTACAGCCACGTGATGGGAGGATGTAGGGAAGGCAGTGCCATGCTTCTCTTGGAGGTCTTCAGTGAAAGGACAAGAGGCAGCAGACAGACTGTAACAGGGAAAGATTCTGGCTAGATAGTAGGAAATTTTTTTTTCCACCATGAGGGTGGTCAAACACTGGAGCAGGGTGCTCAGAGAGGCTGGTGAATCTCCATCTTTGGAAATAAAACTTCCCTGGAGAACCTGATCTCAGTTACCTGCCTTGAGATGGTGGTGGGACCAAGTGGCCTCCAGAGGTCCCTTCCAACCTAAATTATTCTCAGATGTTGTGACCTTGAGCACTGCTTTGGAAAGTTCCTTTCAGCTAAAGAGGAAGCTGGTGTATGAATTGTTTAAACAGAATTTTTGCAAGCTTTGCAATATTTTTCTAGTTCTCTGCTATGCCTGACTGTCTGTCACGTGTATTTATCTAAGTAGGGCTCTCTTAATAAATTTGGCATTAAAAAGCTATGGCTCAGAAGCAACTGAATCAAGTGACTAAACATGTTTTAAGGACTAGAATTAGATTTCCCAGTTGAGCATGTTAACTTAAGTGTTTTAATTGTGTTCTGGAGATAATATTTTTTCATACAGGGTCTCTTCACTGTCCCTGTTGATTGTAACTTACATTTTTTTTTTTTCCTTTAGAATATCTTCTTGCATGTTGTGGATATATCTAATCCCAAGGAAATCTGGAAGTTTGCTGAAAAATTCAAAAATGAACATAAATTAAATGTGTTGGTAAGTTTGCATACTTAAATCATGTGTCTGCCTTTGGAATGCGTAGCCTATGAGTTTGTCCAACAGGTAGTGTAGATTTCACAATTTGGCCCACAATTCTCTGATTAATTTTTTTCTAAATGTTTTTGCAGTAGTCTCCATGGTCTGTTTGCTCTTGTCTGTTCTCAGTTCACATATAGAGACATGCTACAAAAAAAAAAGGAGAAAAGCAGGAATTTTTTAGCTGCATCTTTTGAGGTTCTTACCATGCTTTTTTGTTTGACTTTCATTACTAATAACTTTGTCCTTCTTAAAGATTAAACTTTTATAGACAGTCTAGTTAGAGCAGTCTAAAACAGAGCCAGGGAGAGAGCAAACAGTTAAGCGTCATGGCTGGTAAGGGGCTCAGTACACTTTCTCCTTCATTTAGCAGTGAAAATTTGCTCTGGGGGCTGTAGTAAAACTGAGGCACCTGGAGCAGTTGTTTTGGTACTTACTAGATGAGGAAATTCTGACAGAAATGGGAAAATAGCTTTTGAGGAGTGGCAGTGAATGAGCAGGAAGGTATGTAGAGGCAGATCTCTTTGAGGTGGGAGAGAAAAGCTTGAGCTTCCTCTGGAAGGTAAGGCAGAGAAAGAAGCGTGTCTGCGAATATGCTAGCTGCTTGCAAGCTTCTGTCTGTTCATGAGGTTTTACCTTACAATGCATCCGTGCTGTGTGGTGCAGCACTGTTTTAGCAATGTGTGAGTCAGGTGGGGTATTTGTGCCCTTGTTGTAGGGACCCCAGCTTTTCTTTCTGCCTGGCAATCCTGCACATAGTATGAAGCACCTCTGCTGGTTAGCTCTGCTCTTCTCAGGGCTAACTAGGATGCAGCAACCTGCTGACCTGGCTAATCTGCCAAGTTTGGAGCCAATTCTTTTAATTTCCTGAGGGTGGGAGTTCTGCAGGCCGTTCTACTGCATGTTGCACAGCTTCCCATAGTGAATTTTCACCTAATGGAGAATACATCATCACATAGCATGGATGATGTGGAGTCAGTGTGATCTCTCGGATGAGACTAACAAACTACACTGCATATTTATGTTCTAATATCTGCTTTACAATTTGCATATTACTTTCTGCGAGAAAAGAGTTTTTAAAAACATGGAGTAAGGCACTAAGAGGACTGTTAGCTCTTAGTGGAATACATCTATGGTCAGCCAGTTGTCTGAAGATCCTTTATTTTGTGAAAAACCTTTATCAGCAGCGACAGAGTAGCGTCACTTGGAATAGCACAGTTTATTGAAACAGTTTGTAGCTTTGTGTTGCAGTGTTGGAAAACAGCAAACTAGCATGGACTGCTTGTATGTGTGGTTTTGTTTGTAGATATTTGTGTAGATTGTTTTTGTTTACGGGAGTTGTCTTACAGATCAACAATGCAGGATGTATGGTGAATAACAGAGAATTAACTGAAGATGGACTTGAAAAAAACTTTGCAACAAACACTTTGGGTGAGTACTGAGGCTTAGTTCTGAAATATACATATTTTGGTTACAGCAGTGTGTTTTCACAGCTGGGTTCATGACATATGTATTCCTGCTCAAAGAGGATTGTACCATTGCTATGCCAGGGAAGGAGCAGGAAAGGAAAAGAAGAAATATTACACCTTGTTTGGAGTGTCATTTTTTAACTTCTCCATTTTTCAGTTCTCATATCAGTGCCTTTATCATAGCAGCAGCAGGCAAATGCAGATAAGATTTAATTAAATTGATTCTGAAATTTGCTAGGAAATTTTGTTCCAAGCCATCCTGCTAATTATACTCTCTTTGTAATACATGTGCTCCTGTGGCGTGGATAGAGCTTGGAGCATGTTCAGATATTTAAAGAGACATTTAAATGTTTCAGTAGGCTTGAACAGCTCTGTTTGATGTGACAGAGGCACTGTGTAGGAAGACTGTGCCTTATATAGTGCCCTGGACACTCTCAAACAGATGCAACATCTAGTCAAGTGATTGAGCAGTGCTGGGTAAGTCTTAGGCCCTCCATATATAAGGGGCATATCCCATGAACTGTGTGGTAGAGGTGTAAGAGGGACAAATTAAGGGAAGCAAGTAAAGGAGGAAAGGGGATATGTGGATGAGCAGGGCAGACAGTGAGCAAAGTGGAAGGTTCCCCCATAAAAGCCATGGAAAAGGTGTGAACAAACAGCCAGCCAGCAGAGAGAAGAGCTATCTGCCGCCACTGGTATCTGTAGGACTGAAAGCTACACTTCTTGCAAAGAGATGTGGTGCTTGCATCAACCAGCGGTCCTGATGGTCTCTTTTCCCCTCTGCCTCTGTGCAGGGTAGGTGTCTTTCTGAAGTGACTGTCTTTAATATAGTCAGAAGTGACACATTAAGGAGGAGCTGTGGTGCTTTGTTTCTATGTTTTCCTCCTGTTCATCAATATCTGGGATGAGGAAGGGGGAAGCTTAGGCTATAAAGGTTGGGCATTTATAGAACTAATGTAGCCTGGAAACCATTGTTCAGTTTTATTCTTAGCCTTTTTCCTGTGTTGATTCCTTAACTCCTATTTACTTTTGAAAACTAACATTTTGGGTATAAATGTCTTGTGCTTAGCTGATAATGGTGCATATAGCTTGTCAGTTTAATGTAGTCAGACTTGCAGAAAAAACAACTCAAGTATAAAGGTGCAGATTCATTTTCTTCAAATTAATCTTCTGCTAACATTCTTCTGTTTCTCATGGTCAAAATTCAAAATGAATTTTATTTTGCCATCAAATTTCCCCTCGCTGCAGAAGTACAAGAACCTGTACCTTGAGAAATTTATTCACCTTGAATTAGTTTAACCCTCTTGTGGTCTTTCAAGCAAAAAATCCAGCAATGTGCAAAGGTGCAGCTCTTCCAGAGAGAAGCAGAATGAAACAAGTACAACAGTCTGAACATGAAAGCATGTTTTGGTTTAGTTCTAAACATCGAGAAAATTAATTGCTGAGGAACTGTACTAGTGCTTCACTTGAATTAGATTTTATTACACAAGTAGAAGCAGCAAGTTCTGCTTTCCCAGCTGTAAATCAGCCTCACTAGAGATATATAGCTGCATAGAGGAAGCTGAATTACGATTGTAGTAAACTAGGAAAATACTTGTATTGTCTTTTATGAATGTTACATATAGATCTCCTTTATTCATTTGTGTATCACTTGCTGCATGACTGTATAAGAAGGTCAAGGAGATGATTGCACATTTGAGCAGATAAGGTAAAACAGGTAGGTCATCTGCTGTTGTCCAACTTCTGCGGAGTTTAGACAAAGACTGGGTTGTTTGCTCAGACAGGTTCTCTCTAGGCAACAATAAGGATTAAATTTTGAAGCTTTTAGAACAGAGTGGGTCTTGGCTGAGCTGGAAGAGGCTGTCTGTGCAAGAGAAAGCTGTGCTTGCAGGTCAGACACACATGAAGGACCAATGCTATCAACAGTGCAGGGTTTGTTTTTTTTTTTTTCTCCCTCAGAGTCAGAGATGAAGTAATAAATCATATCTGCTGGAGTCATAGTAGGAGAAACCTGTATGGAGAAATGCCTGTCAGAGTAGATGCTGTGTTAAGTCATTTCCCTAAGCACTAGGTACCTTTGGGCATGCTTTACTTTGGAGAAGTTATTTCTGTATCAGTAACTATCTGTGGTTATAGGTTCCTAGAGAAAAACTTGGCTAAATTAGATATGGCTGGTATATAGGCTGGCTGTAAACTGGAATGTGGTCTGAGAGAACAAACTTTCCCCAGAAAAGCTAAAGCCTGAAGGATGACGTGGGCTCAGGGCCCCTGTTTTGAAAATCTGCAGTTGTCCCCCTCATCAGCAGCATGGAAACAATAACTCGTGACTGCCTGGTTTCTGCAGAAACAAGATAGAATAATATTAATATTTTTTTTCAGATCTTCACATGCAGGGTGTTCCTTCCATCTTTCTTTCACTGTTTGTTTCTACCCTGGATCTTAGCTCTGGTCTAGTAAGGAGTGTGTAGGTTGTAACTATCTAAGAATGCAAGACTTTGAACTATAACATGCTTTAAAGGCAGGGAAGAGTCTTTGAATTCTGTATCTGATATCTGATTAACATTCATATAAGCTGTAGAATTGATCATTTAGGTGTCTGAAATGCTGTGGAGCTTTTAAATCCAAGCTGGGGTATTTTGCTCTTGGCTGACTTGTTAGTCTGTTTTCAAGCATAATGGATGTTAGAGTTCAGTTCTAATTGATCATCTGACTTGTGAAACATACTTTATATCCTGATCTGTTCTTGGATGTACATGGGACAAAAAAGAATGCATAAGTCCTCTGGTAGACCAGATGAATATGCACAAAAATAATATTGGTTAGACTAGAAAGTAAACTTCCCTTAATATGAAACACCACTGACCGGCTAATTGAGGACAGCTCACTGAAATAGGAGGTACAGAGTCCCCTCTGGTGTTGTCAGAATATACAAGTGGGTGAAGGTCATGAAAATGCAAAATGCAGGTTGATAAGTCAGGCTTTGTATGGTTTGTCTAATATTTAAGTTCAAACTGTAAACTGCTTTGAGCAGGCAGTGGCAGCTGTATCTGTCCTGGTGCCTAGCATCCTTAAAATGGGGCTCAGGCACAAAGGCTGTGTGGCTCGTTGTGGACCTGTTGTTGCTGTCACATGAAATATCTTACCTTTTTTTCCTGCTACACCCCCAAGAATTGTTGCTCTGATTGCTGGAGCTCAGTGAGGGTGTAGAGAGCAGAATAGCTGTGGAGCGCTTAGACTGTAATGTGGGAGCGCTGGCTGGACACGTGTCTGAAATGGCACATGGCTGATTGAATCACACCTTCACTATGAAATTGAGCGACTGGCTTGGGGTAATGTGGGCAGATTTTCTGGGGAGCTGCTGATCCTGATGAGCAGATTTTATTTGTATATCCTTTAGTTTGTGTGTTGTTGCCCTTGCGTTTCCTCCTGTGGGCTGGCCTTGTACTTAGGGTTGTATCCAGGAGCTGGGCAATGACAAGCAATCATTTGTTCTGAAGAGTCTTGCAGACTGCTGAGTCAACACTTTATTTATTTGTTTATTTTATTTTGTTTTACTTGTTTTAGTAAAACTCCCAACAAGACTATTCAAACTGGCAGTATTCAGTCATTTTGGAAAAAACTGTCAGCTTTGGTAGGCAAGCGGAGGCAACAGCAGCATGTTCTTTTTGAAGCACTAGTCATTTAGCTGAAACAATCCTCATTCCTCTATTTTATAGCCTGCCTCACTTTACTTTTACTCAACACATCTTCTTGCTTGACATGGAAAAATGGCATATATGTTACATTTTTATTGCTACTTACTAGCCAAGGGGATGCTAAAACACACTCAGATAAATAAATGATGCTCCCAGTATGCATATTTTCTTCAGTCTAATGTGCTCTCATGTTTTAATAATATAGCCATATATGTTTACTCTCTGTGCAAGAAGGAGTAGGGCCAGAGGAAATAAGATGCTTTTCTACCACAGTAGCAGTACAGCCCATCTATGGAAAATTGCCTACCTGTATGGATATTTGTCAGTCTCTTTCCTACACATAAACTGTATCTAACTGGTGTTTCATACAAGCCAGCACTGCCTGGTGGACTGTGTTCTGAACTACTCAAAGTCAGGCAACTTGGGTACCAGCTGTCAGTCTGCTGTAAGGTCAGTGCCTGATCAGACCATGATACCAATTTTCTTTCTAAAGAGCTTTGAGACTCACGGATGAGAGGTGCTATGTGAAAGGATAAGGTTGAATGTAATTGCATATCAACTAGCTATACTAAAGCCTAGGTTCTCAGGACACAGAGGAACCCTTATCGAGCTGAGCTTTGTAATTCAAGGGAAATGTAAACCTTTGTTTTGTCTTTCATGTTCATTAGCTCTTCCCCTACACTCTTGGTTATTGCTGAAGGCTGGAATTGGCCCTCAGAGACAGCACACTAAAATCTTCATTCCTGATCTTGTACTCGGGAAACAGACTTGGGGATGTCTCTTACTTGGAACTGCATAAATTGAAGACTTGAAAAGATAACCAGGTCAAGGAAGAATGTCGGGGGGTTTTTTGTTTGTTTGTTTTTAAGACTTGGACATAAGAAAAGCAAGCCAATATCACTGATTTTTTTTTTTTTTTCCTACCAGATGAATGAACCTTTTTTCTTTTTTGTTCCCACTTTTTTCACAGTTGAAATAACACTGTTCCTAATAATACCCTGAATGTTAGCAGATTGAAAACCTCACCAACAATTTACCACTAATTGCCAGATAGAACATCAAGCAAAAACTATTCTAGAGTCCACCAAGACACTTGCGTCTGCAATAATTGCATCATCAATTAATTTGATGTTATAAACAGGTAGTGGCTTTACAATATTACTTCTGCTAAAACCATAATTTTCTTTATAAATCAATTTTAAAGTACAGGTTTTGGGGTCACTTTAAATCTGTAAAGCAGATAGGAGTATGTGTTCATGTACTATTATTATACGTGATATCCCGTTGACTTCCAAGTCTGAAATATATGAATCCTAAGGAGTCTTCCAGGTTTTAGCAGGCTAAAGCTGAGTTACACCACCAGCATTCTGGAAATCTGCCTTCACAGTGCTTCTTTACATTTTCTGCTAGGACTCTCCTGTGTACTGCTTAGTTTCATGTTCTAGTACAGAAAGATTGTAGCCTTCTGTGGGAAAGACCAGTGTCTTGTACACTGTAGACTTCTGCTGCTTGCACGGGGATAGCTTTCACTTTGGTTATGCTGTGGTAGAGATGGTGAGATCCACAGTGAGCTAACTGTTGCAAGATCATGCAATAGTGTTCCCTGCAAGACCTAACAATAATGTTTTCCATACAGTTCCCTCAGCTTCTGCTTCAGGTCATGTGAAAGGTAGTGTGATTTTATTTAGGAGTTTATGAAGCAGACAGGCTGATTTTTGTAGGGTTTTGGTCTTTTTTTTTTTAAACAACTTAGTGTACAAATTGAATCTTTATGTCCATAACGGCTCCTCATTTTCTACACTTGCATCATTAAAGTTTCACTCTGTGGTTATGAAACCACTGAATTACTGCTCATACAGGTTGACAGAGGAGTTCACTGTATGGAGTTAAAAATGGGAGTTGTTAATTAGAGCACAATATCAGATTACTCAACTAAATTGAGAAGATCTCAGAGCCAGTGGAGCAATTATAAAATGGACCACAATGGAATGTATGGTGATTCAAATTTTTTTTTGAGCAAGTAAACATGAAACTTAAATATTAATGTGTGTATGAACAAAGTGTGTTCTCATTAAGTGCCATGCTCGTTGGTTTTAATGGAATTACCATGTGTAATGCACAGACTGACAACCTGCAGTGTCTAATCTGCTATATGATAGAGTTGGTTGAATGGTGTGTAATGGTGGAGTTGCTGTATCCCTATAGGAAAGTTTTAATTACACTGTATTATACATTATTTCCTATTACATGAGCCCAGTTTCAAGACATGAAACTTACAGGAATTTTTCCAAAGAAAAGCAAATGTTGAGAGGATGTTTATCTTTAAAAGAAACTGTGCATCAATCCCAGGAGCCTCTTTAACTGGAGAAAACATGGCCAGCAAGTACCGTGTCAAACCTCATTACACGGAGCAGGGCTGTAGCTTGTCCAATAGGTTTCTCTAGTCAACTCTTCACCTCAGCAGAGTTCAGTGAGGGCATGATGAAATCCTGTACATGGGGGTGATAGACTGGATGGTTACTCACCCCCTTCTGTGTTCCTGCTGTTTCTGAACAAGCTCCAAAATTCATCTTGCTCGACTCCTTTGTGGCACAGCAAATACCCCTTTTCAAGGGGAAGTGTTGTATACCATTTCACTGCAATTTATTTTTTTCTTTTTGCCCAGTTACCCCAGTGGGAGTCAAGCTTTCAGGCCATGTAGACAATACACCTTCCAGTGGCAGGAGAAGGTGATGTATAAGAGTCTGGCCTTTGTCACACAGTCACAGATACAGGTAGTACAGCTGTATGTCTAGCACTGCCTTGTAGTTCCCTGCCTGCTGGGTCAGAGATGCGTGTGAGAGAGGCTGCTGCTTGAGTTTCCACTGTGTGAGTAATTCAAAGTAGCCTGCTCTTTTCCACAGGCACTCAGACCTGTGCAAGAAATGAGCCGTAGTCCAGGAGAACTGTCCAGACAGGAACGTCCTGCTCCCAGTTGCCATGTGTCCCAGAGGGCTCTCGGTTTCTCCTCTGTCGTGGATGCAACTGCTGGGGTGCAGGCACTGGGAAACATGGTGGCCTCAAGGCTGATTAACTCCATTTACAGAGTATCTGCTTGAGACAAGGACTAGCTTTCTCCAGAACCCCCCAGGAGTTGTGGCAGCTCTTGTTTTCTGGGGAAAAATGGTCATCCTTTCTTTCTCGCAGAATCCCGAAGGTCCTCTCAGAGGAGGGGCAGGATCACCAAGATACCCAGTGCTTAATGCTTTCAGTGCAAGGCACATCACTGTTGATCATTGCCTTTCCCTCCATGCACCTTTGTGTTCTCTCTTGGTCTTCTTAAACAATTAAGAAAAAAAAAAAGAAACCTCAAAAAAATCTGTACAGTTTGAATGCAGTGATAATTAAGCATTAATCACATTTTATATGCTTTACTGTTTTTAACTAAGGTCTGTGGGAGGAGGTTCCTCCTTTAACAGACAAAAATTATTTTTGTGTCAAGGAAACATACTAGAATGCTGAAGTGTTCATTTTGGAAAGGCAACTATCCAGTACATTGATATTAATAATCAATTATTAGCAAAAGGATATATAATTTGGATGTTTTCTTGATTTCCTTAAGTGGGGGGAGAAGGGAAGGTAGTTTCTTCTAACAAATCAGTTTTGGTTTTCCTTGCAATTTTTTTTTTTTACTGAAAGTAAAAAGATTTTCCTTTTTTGTTTTTATACTGTTAATGCAATTCATGTTTTTATGAGGACTGTGGCAGGCAACACATTCATTTGCAGCTTCCCCTTTTACTTAGAAATTCACTTCTGTATTACTGAATGCTGCAATACAGCTGTGCTTGGCAAAATACATGCCGTGAGGTACATGGCTGTGCCAGGTCTCTACACTGGCTGTACTGAGAATTCTTCCTACTTGTTTGAACATAACTATCAAACTATGTGCCAGCTTTTACGTGAATAAAAATGTGGAGGTTTCAATCGATGATGATGCATTCCAGCCAATAACATACCTTATTAATAAGGTATGTCTATTCTACTATTATTGTACTAAATTTCTTGTCCAGGCTGTTTTGCCTGACAGACCAACCCATGCAAATAAGAGCATATAATATCCAAGTATATTTGTTAAAGTACTGAGGAGTTTGCGTTTGAACACTTAAAACAGGGACAATAGTTGGTGAAATATTTAGTAATGGGAGAAACGCTTCAGTCTTAATGCCTGATGTGTTGCGTCTGTGTGTGTTTTGAGATACTAGTGCTTACCATAGGAAGCTGGGATCAAAACTGGTCTTTTTGCTCTCTGTCTCAAAGCAAATGAGCAAGTGGTTTTGTGGGGCAAAAAGATGGAATGCTCTAGCTCTGTGGGATTTACGGAATTCTTAATAGACTTGAGGAAGAGAGGAGACGCTGGCTTTGCAGTTAGTTTGTGGTTTTAAATAAGCACATAAACTTTTGACAAGCTGTAGTTGCTATAAGCAGGATTTTTGGCATTGAGCATTCCTATCATCCAGCTGGAAAACAAAACAAAACTCAGTTGTTAATGAGGCAATGTTAATGCATTCATCTTTGCATCCCTTTAGAATTAACAAATCAACATGAAGCCCCTTAAAAGTGTAAATTAATCTGCAGGACAGTAAAATCAAGCATCGTCATAGCTGGTGCATTGCAGCTCTGCCTTTTGGAGATGCAGCTTATTTAACCAAGACATGATGTTACTTTGCATTTGAAGAATCCATAGCAAATCAAAATTTAATCCAGGCTCTCGGCTTGTACTGAAGTGATTTATTTATTTATTTATTTTTTACATCGCAGCAGTCTCCCATGACAATCAGTGGTGGTTCTTGTCCTAATGATGTCATCGTTCAGTCTCCCCAGCACTACCAGGGGAGACGTACAGGCTCTCGTTATTCACTGGCAACTGCCTTTGCTTGCATTTTCTGCTGAAGACAGGCTGCATTTACTCATCTGCTGTGCGTTTGCTTTGATTTGCCAGGGTTTTAAATATATTGTGTGCATATGGATGTCCCTCTGATTATATAGAGAAAATGAAGAGTGCTGTGACTGACAGGGGAACTGAACAGTTTGTTCACCAAGCATGTGACATGTTTGATTTTGGTAGCGTATTTATAAACACACTGTATTTTAACTGGGTGATCTCATTGCCTCTGCGGAAGAGAGGTTATAAAGACACATGCTGAAGTCTTCACGTCTACTGAAAAACATAGCCTCAGTAGCTCATGGAAAAAAATACATTTATTGCTGACACAGAATTGTTGAACTAGAGCCATTTGTGAAGAGATGAGAGGTAAGTATTATACTTGGTGCAGAAACACTAGACTAAATGGGGCTAGATTCATTTTGAATTAAACAGAATTTTTTAAAATACAGTTTAAAGGGAAAACAATTAAAAATATCTCTGAGATAAAAACAAACAAAAATTCCTGTGTTGCACTTGAGTGGGTGAAACACCACTAGGTGTGTCTGAATCAAATACACTAGCAGTTGAACAATGTTTTGAATAACAAACTTTGCTGGTCATGGTAACAGCTGTAATGGAATATATTTGTGTGGTGTGTACAAATCTACGCTAAATGAACACGATTAAAGTGGGGAAGGACAGAGTTAAGTTTCCCAAGTAATTTTAGCTTGGCCTTGGGCACACAACATGAATATTTTTCCCCCCAAGGATTCCTTATCTTCTGTAATAGTCATGCTGGGGATTTAAGAGGTGTTTTTTGTGTGCAACACAAATCAAAAGTGTCAGTGTACTCTGAGTGATTTCATAGTGAGAAGGCAAAAATGGACGAATCTTAAGTGCAGATGCAAGGGCCTAAGAAACACAAGTGTGAAGCACAGTTTCCTTCTCTTGTTCATGACCTGGCATAGATACCTGTGTCTATGCCACACATGGAGGGGAAACGCATTCCCTGTTTCTTTGCTGGCATCACCTTACCCCCAAGGAAATCCATACCTGAGCCATTTTGCCTTCAGAGTCATGGCTGAATGTAGTGAGGAGTTTGCTCTACAGATACAATAAACATAAAAGTCTATAAAATAACTGATGTGCCTTTTGATAAGTGTGCAGCAATGTGGACCACTACAAGTTGAGTTGGCATATTGCAGGTAAAGCAGAAAAAAAAAATCATCATTAAATTCAGATCAAGTTTCAGAAATAAAGAGACTTTGGGTTGTTACAGAGGGTGGGGAGAGAAGAAAGCTTTTTTAAAAAGACAAGTTAATGTTGGTGCCTGTCTGTCTTTTAGGTACATACATTCTGACAACTGCCCTGCTGCCCCTCCTGGAAAAAGAAGCTGATGCCAGAGTGGTGAGTCTGTGATACTGTTGAAAAGTGTTTTACTACTCTTACCTTCTGCTTTGTGACAGCATTTCTTTGATTATGCTAGCAATGCAGGATTAGTTGTAATGCTGTAAGCATCTCTAGAACCCTCTTGGATTTTGCTAACAACCACCTCCTTCTCCAAGGCAAAGCTCCTGCCTGCTACTCTCAACCCTTCGTTGGAAATCAGAGTAAAACACTTCTTTTGGAAGCCTCCCCTTTTACTTTCCCTGGGGCATGTTACCTCCTGCAGCGTAGTGCAAAATACCTATAACAGGAGTATAGGCTTAAAAGAACCTTACAGATCTTGCTGTAAAATAGGACAGCAGGTACATTTTTTTTAAATGAAATTTCCCAAGTTTTGTACAGTCTCTTGTTTTCTAGTTAGCTTCTATAATTGCTAAACATATAAACTACAAATAGTGCTATTCTGCTATTTTCTTTCTCCCAATTACTTCTCAAAAGGAAGAAGCACAAAGTTCCCTGAAGCAGTCAACACCACTTTGAATGAAAATCACTTTCTAAAAAAAATTCTGTTTCTTCCACCTCATCTCCAGGTATGCTCCACACATGAGCACAAGTGTAGTGCAAAGAGTATGGAGAGGGATCCTGCTCCCTAGGGATTTCCAAATATGGCCTGAAGACCACATTACATGCATGAGTGCGATTGTGGGGAGTTCCTGGTTTTGCTTTTCGTTCATTTGCTTTTCATTCGATTACAGATAACTGTCTCTTCTGGGGGCATGCTAGTTCAAAAATTAAACATATCTGACTTGCAGTCGGGAAATGGGACATTTGATGGAACTATGGTGTATGCACAGAACAAGGTACAGTCAGTGGTTTTGAAAACAAAGCCCAGCACTTGTTTGTTAGGCGGCTTATACCATCTGCTTTGCAAAAAGCTGTTGCTTTCCCATTGCATCCAACCCACACAGAGGTGCACAAGCAATAATCTTCAGAAGTATGATGAGTGCATACCATCTTGCACGGAGAGCATGGGTAGACTTTCATTTGATTTGATACAAGTCTTACGGGGGAAAACTGTCTTTAGCTGACAAACCCTTTCTGCCTGCTTAGTTCTTACCTACAGTCTGCAGCAAGTAGACGTGGTCAGTAAAAGCAGTGTAACCTCTTTAAAAGTAAGCTTGTGGCCAGGGTATGGATTGCAATGACCATAGTGGTCTCTGACAAAATTATCCAATAAATCCAATCAGGTTGAGCAAAGGTATATTTCTGCTATGCATGCCTTGGTATTTACAGCACATTTGATGTAGTTTATCTCTCTGGGAACTAACTTGATGCTAGTCTGGCTCTTTCTGCTCTATCCTAGAGACAGCAAGTTGTCTTGACAGAACAGTGGGCAAAAGCTCACAGAAACATTCATTTCTCTGTGATGCACCCTGGCTGGGCAGACACTCCAGGTAACATCTGCTTGACACTGACTATATTTTTTCTTTTCAGGATTAGTCTAAAACCAAAGAGAAATGAAACTTTCTGGTAGATTTCTCCAACAGGTGCAGTGATTTCTTGGCTCCAAACTGGTGCTTGAAGCAGTTTTATGCCCCCCGGCAGCTCTGTTCTGCACAGTGTCTGCTATCTGTGTATGTCCAGGGAATAATAATGGGCAATGAATGGTTCCAGCCCCACGCAAATGCACAGCAGAGCCACAGTGCTTTAAGCTAACCTTTAAGTTACATTTGTAGTGGGGCTGTTAAACACACAGGTAGAGCTTCTGCCTCTGTAAGTACCAACGTGTAGACATTGGGAATTTGCGAGGGCATATAGGAAAGTAGAGCACGCAGCATTGTGCAAGCCCTGTTCCTCTGCTCTTCCTCTAAACATTTACTGCTGTTGAGAAGCAGCGTGTTTGGCCAGACAGCCCTTTGTCTGAGCTGCAGCTGTTCTTCAGTGACTGTGTCTCGCCAGGCGGGCCAGCATCAGTTATCCAGTATGCATGTTGTGTTCTACAATATGTTACCAGCCCCTAACACCCAAGCTTGGGATGCAGGCTAGCAGTCTGATCTCTAGGTCTTTTCTAGGGATGGAGTTTCCAAAATTTGCTTCTGATGACAGAAGCATTTACCCAGTCTACTTTATGCTTGAAAAATGCCCCTTCCAACTAAATATCCTAGTATTTCTTTTTCTCTAAAATACATTTATTTTTGTACATTCTTTGTGGATTTTAAACCTAATGAACCATAAAGTTACCCCACCTTAAAGTTCAAGGACTCTCCTACCCCCAAAAATAAACAGCTGCAGGGGATGGGCCTTCAGTCATCACCTGTTCAACAAAATAAAAAGAAACCAGAGTTTGAACATGAATTATTACGTAGTTGGTTTAGGTACTGTTCACCATACAGTTTTTAAATACAATGCTGCAACTGGTTTCTTAAAACTGGTGAGAAAACAAGAGCTAAAACCCCTGGGTTTTGGTATTTCCCCCCATGTCTTGGCTTCTTTGCAGTTTAGAATGGAATTGGCTCAGGAGTCTCTTGCTGATCCTGTTCTCAGCTCCTACTAGTTTTGGTCCTGTAATTTGACCCAAACAAACAACTGGTGGATGATCTGGCAGTTTAGCACTATTCCAGCAGAAGACATTGTACTCTTAGCTATGGGGAAATACTGGTTCTCCTTCATAAACTCTGAGATGCCTTCTCTTCCTTCTACGCTCACAATGGCAATTTTAAGCTTTTTTTGTTTTTTTAATCAAAAAAACCTTGCATGGCAGACCACCATTCCATTGTTATTCTTTCTAGCTGTGAGATCGTCAATGCCAGATTTCTATCAGAAGATGAAGAATACCCTGCGCACAGAGGCCCAGGGAGCTGATACCGTTGTATGGTTGGCAGTATCATCAGAAGCAATAAAGTTACCGAGTGGCTTGTTCTTCCAAGGTAAGGCAGCAGTGTCTTACATTGCGCAGCAGTGGAGATCCCTAAGCTGCCTGAACTGTAGGATCCCCATCTGGCCTGGAAGGGGATGAAGGCTCCACCAGGCAACTGTTGTTTGAAGGATAAAGTATTACTCAAAATTGTTCCCAGACTAAAGGTTCAAGTGAGAATTGTGCAACCAGAGAACGACTGTGTTAAGTTGTTATGTTTCTGCTTTTGTCCTCTAAAGTAGCTGATAGAGACTTCAAAGCATTTCTTTAGGGAGGTGGGAGTTTTTTTAATGAAAATGGCTGTATGCAGGACTGTGCTAAGGGAAGGTGAATCACAGCAGTCAAACAACATCTTTTATGATGCTGGAAAACTAGCATCCTTCTCACAGAGCACCAGGGGTTGGCTTTGCTTTGACAGGCTCTTCTTCCTACTGCTCCATGCTAGTTAAAACTGCCAATTCCCCCTTTCTCTAATGCTGGGCAGAGACTTGAGCGTAGTGGCATTTTTGGCACTGTGAGCATAGGGAATGGAAAAATAGGGCAGAGCCCTTCTTTTCTCCCAGATGAATGACAGGCATCTTAGTAGGAACAGGTGGAAGCATAGATGTCTTAATGGTGATGCAGGTCAGTCCAGAAGGAGAAAGGCAAAGGTCAGGATAATTGCTTACAGAAGCCCAGAACTTTTGTTGGATGTGGCACTCGAATCCTGATTCACTGAATTTCTAGGTGGAGCATACAGGGAGTTCAGACTTTTCCCGAGTTGGGTTGACTTTGTCCCTTCTGTCCCCTCTCAGACAGTCACGCAGGGTTGGTTGACAGATACTTAACTGGACCTTTTTCATGTCATCATGTGGCGCATGCAGAAACCCCACATGCCAGCTGGTCAGTCGTCTTTGTAGAAGCAGGCTTTGCCTTTTTCGTACTCCTGTCACCTTCTTCCAGTCATCATGCTTCTGTCTAGTTGTTCTTTCTCTAGATCATAATTCCACCTGGCTCTTGCCTTTGGCCTCTGTCTACCCCCAGCTTTAGTAAACAGGGAACATGCCTTGGCTCTTTAGCTATAGCTGTTGACTTTTGAGAGCTTTGGTCTTGGCACGACTGTTCTTAAGGCTGCAAGAGAAGTCCTGTGTCTGTGTCCCGTGCTTATCAAATAGTGATGAAATCAGTTATTTCTCTCCTGCTGCCCTTTGGAAGCCACAGCTTAGTATGGGCCCTCTTCAGGCCCTTTCAGTAAAGGGGTTTGTGTGCAGGAGCATTTCACCACAGACCCTCTGGTCCTTGATGGCCATTTCCTGCATCAGTCACACCTTCCCTCCATTTCTTCTGTTCTCTTTTATTCTGTTCCCTTTGAGTGCAAACCAAAGCCAGCATTTTTTTTTTTTTCCTGAGGAAAAAAAAATGGGAAGTAAGAACCTGACTCGTACAACCACAATTCTCTGCATCTGCCAAAATAAAAAATGTTTGACAGAGTCCTGCTTTCCAAAGACTACAAGCATCTTCTCCGTGATGCTGAACTTGGCTTTCACACATAGTTCCCAAACTTTAGCACAGGCTACTGGAAGCAGTACAGTTAGGTCGGAAGCAGTTCATATTCAGTGATGGAGAAGGGAATGTTCCTCTGCATGTTTCTCTCCTCAATTTTCCATGAGCAGAGGTTATGTGGTGTATGCAGCCAGTTACATTTGCTCTTAAGAGAGCAAACATCTCTGCTCCCCTGGGAAGCCCGATGGCAGCCTGATAGGTTTCCAGAGGAATCTGCTGCCCAGTGTTGCAACAGCTTCTTCTTTTAGTCTCAGCTGGCTACTGCGGAAGGACTTACTAAATAAACTAGCAGTGCTGCGCCAGTGCTTTGATGTTTGTTTCATAGACATCTGAGAGCGTTGTCACAAGGTTCCTGGGCTCTAGATACCATGTTTTTGGGGAGAAAAATCCCTTAGAATGGATGGCGATAGAGCTGTATTTACACAGAGTGAGCGAGGCGTATGAGATTTGGAAAACCAAGCAAAGCATCAAATTGAGCAAAGCTGGTCAGACGTCTTTATGTTGGATACATGTTACTTAAGGTGACTAAGCAATTAGCTTAAGTTCTTTAGCATTTAGAATTTAACCATTATTTTTAAGGATGAAAGTAAGCATTTTAAGATTGAAAATAATCCAAACTACAAAGTCCCAGCTGGGGAATTTGTGTAGCACTAGAAACATTATCCAGAAGCCAAGGAAAAACCCTATCTCATGCTGCAAAAGCAACCTGTGCCTGCAACACCAATCTCAAGTTATTGGTCTTTGTCTACAGGAGTTGCAGTAGCGACAGCAAGAAGGCGTAACCCCACAGTAAGGCCTTCCTTTAGCTATACTGTCCTCAGCTACAAATGAGGTCTTGCTCCCCAATCTAAGTCATATTGTGCTAAAGGACAATTACTCTAGTTCCAGAATACAAATGAAATTAGCTTAATTTCAGGTTTGGAAGATACACTTAACTAAAATTGTTTACAGATACCTAGAAGGTAAGCTTCCTGGCTTCAAGACCGTGAGGTATGTTTGGGCAGTATAGAGCCAAGCAGAAAAATCTCCTCTGTGCTAGAAGAGGTGGTTAAATGTACCCATAAGGATTTTTAAAAAAAATTTTTTTTTAAATCTATTTGTCTTCCAGACAGGCAACCAGTCCCTACACACTTACCCCTGGCAAGCACCCACAGTCCACCGGAGGATGAGGAGAAGCTAATGGAGGTGCTGGAAGAGTTCTCCCAGAAGTTTAAATCCACTTCTCCAGGAACTTAGTGCCACTGCTGACACAGCGTAACCGTAAAGCTTCTAATTACACGGTGACAGTGCTGTAGTGCCCCTGCTGTTGAGGGGAAGTAGGATGCCATAGGCCTGTTAAAAATAAATTGGGTTCAGGTATTCTTATCATGGGGGAGAGCAGTGCCTGCAACGTGTTTTTTCTGTTGCAGAGTCTTTCCCATTGTGAATATGCACCTGCTGTCTCAAGACACAGTAAGGTTGCATTCTTTGAATTGGAAGAAAAATTGGGAGGCATTAAAATAAAACCCAAGGCTTTGTGAAGTTACCCAACATAATTTGAAACTCTCACCACAGAGAAATGCAGAGGAGTGTACCTTCCAGGAAAGAAGTATTGAATGTTTTAAACAATGTTTAACCACTGTATTTGACAGGTTGGTGGCTTCTTTCGCTGTGTGGGGGTGACTGGGCTCAAACCTGTAACTGGGAACGTAGAAACTCTCTCCTGCATCACCTGCTTAGTCTAAATGGAAGGATTCCTCATGGCCTTCAGCTATAAATCAATGCTGGTATGCAGAAGTGATCTGCTTCCTCATGTTTAAACAGCAAGAATTTAGGAATGCTGCCAAATGCCTTCCATGTTACTTTATGGAGCCAAGGCTGAATGTTATCCCATTTATGTCAAGAAGCCATGAAGTAGGAGGTTTCAACACATACCACACCCAGACATGGCCAGATCCAACAGAGAAATGGCTGCATGACTCTAGGTATTGAGAATAAATAACATGCTAAGCTGTACATGTTTGCCATTTCTGTGACAGATCAAAGGGAATTCCTTTATTATGAATGGCTTAAGAGGGGGGAAGGGAACACGGTGGGTGGGGGCACAGGTTTTAGAGAAGTCCACCTCCTGATGAGAGAGTTGTAGTTTGCCTGGAAGTGTTTATTTCCAGGCACAGAGGATGGGATTCATCTTACCTGACCTGTGGACATTTGAATTACTCATTGGAATTCTCGCTGTAAATCAGTAGAGAGAAACCAGGCTTTTTCACAGTGATTTACTGGATCTAGTTTAAAAATGACACCTACATTCCTACATCTTTCTACTGAAGGTGAAGACAATCAGCTCAGACTATTCCATTCAGCTGGGATTCATTTTGTCTTGCGTATTTCAGATTTACTGCAAAGCTAAGACTATTCATAACCATAGTGGTAACACGTTTTCTCCTGAACTGAGTGTTTGATAGCAAACTGCATACAGACCTTGACCAAGTTGCACTGCTGTGTTACCCATGGCTGCAGACCACTGTGGTAGGGCAAAAGGCCTAGACACACCTAGAGCACAGGTGTTCTTGAGCAATCTACCATGACTGGGAGCTAAGGCCATGCTGATGGGCAGAGGAGAACGTGTTATGTCTGCTTTACATAATTTAGTTTCCCAAAAGACATCCTACTGGCTGATGGCATTTACTCATTTTTCAAAGACATCTTGTTAAATATCAGTTTAGGAAAAAAACCCTTCTCTTTTCAGCCTATTGTCAGTCTCCTTGCAAATAAGAGAAGCCCTGAAATAAGTTTTCCTGTGATAAGCAGTGCTGAGACAAGTCAGGCCATACAGCTCTTACTGAAGAGGCTGGATCCAGCGTTCAAGCTATTGCTTCATTTTAGAAACTTAACTCCTTCCCACACTACAGTGAAGGAAAACAATGGCAAGACTTGTACAGACATTTATTTCCTAGAAGTCTGGTATTAACATTTTACATGGTTCAAACTGTTAAATACAGTTACTGAAAACAAGAGCATGGCTGGAAGCATATATAGTAACTATGTTTCTCAATCCAGTAGCTGCAAGGCTAATAACATTTGCATACTTGAGTAAGTCAAGTTGCTTCTCAGCTCTGCAGTATAGTAGAAAAGTTTAATGACTGCTATTTAAATAGTTCATAAAAATAACCAAAGTGCATAATATATATAACATGTATTTTAGTCCACATTCTGTACTGATGTATTTGAATAGCCTGTATTTTTCTTTTTAGTCACAGCTTAAAAATGAAGCCAAAGGTATGAAAGCTGCTTTAATCAAAGTTTAGTCACAGTGTAAAAGAGCCAGATACTGTGGTTTAAGAACACTTGTGATTTAAAGAGAATTAAAACATAAGACAGCAATTAGAAACAAAATCCAGAGTCTCCCACACTCTGGTATTATGGTCCTGACGATGCTTTATTTCAGCCCCTTTCCCCAAGAGCAAACGTGGCCTGTGGCTGTAAAGCCAGTGAGATGCTTTGTGTTAATGCAATTCAGAATGACTTGTACCTGCATGTAAGCAAATACATTTAGTGCCACCTATAAAATTTTAGGGGCAAGAGAAAACCAGCACCCAGTGACAGATTACCAGAAATAGAAGGTGACTGCAGTGATGCAGGGGCCACTGAAACATTCCTTGGTCTTTGGTGAAAATTTTAGGAGGTCAACGTAACAGATATCAGATGATTTTGTAACCTGCATTTCCTCTTCTTCGAAGCTTCATTTCTGGGCCAATGTTTATTCTTTGTAAAAATAAAGAAAATAAAGTAATCTGTGGTTGATTAAAGTTATAAACAATTGTTTGTTGTCTGCCTTTGAATGGCAGGGCATTCCCATATATACCTCACTATTTTGGAGTAAACTGCACATACCAACTGTCTGCATTTGCAGCAGCACCCCCGCCAGCTTTTGTGCTGTCCCAGCTCTCTACACTCCCTGTTCCACCCTTGGGAAAAAGATGCAGGCAGGGACACCCCCTTAAACAAGGCTCAGGGCAGGGGGGGATGATGAAATCCCCTGCCCGGGCTCAAAGATGTGAGTTGTACTACAGACGTCAATGTAGACAGACTTAGGTCAGTGCTGAAAAACTCAATGTAAACAATTTATTTGGTGGGACACAGCCCTGGGCCAGACATGCCAATTTTCAATTCAATCACTGCTTGTATTTTTTGAATGACAGAGCATTTTTTAAAGCCATAGCAGTCAGAGCAGTACTAGTTTTCATTAACCAATGTTTAACTCGGTGAGTGGAGAGTGAACATAAGAGCTACTCTTTCAGAGACCAACCTGGTGGTCATTGACTCCAGTGGAGAAGGGCAGTTACAAACCAGTTTAATTCTTAAGTTCCTTTTGCCCGTGCCCATCTTCCATTCCCTGTGTGTGTTGCTCTCATACCTCATGCAAAAATAAAGTGCCTCTTCTCATAACACTAGATCCTCCTTATCTAAAATTAGTGCTGGTCAACCAACATTCACCCACTTTAAACGAGCTGTTACCACTTTGAATGGCAGCAGGAAGCTTCAGATCCCTCCTGGCTCAGCTCAGCATACTTCCTTGATTGTCCATCAGGCTTACATCTCTTGTTTCGTTGGGAGAGGTAGTTCTGGGTGCATTTGGGTGGATCCAGAGACTGATTACAGGAGATAATTTCAAAATGCAAGTGAGATGACTTGAAAACTCTCTACTCCCGCAGTCATCCTGATCTAGACAATGAGAGAAAGAAGGCAGTGAAAAGGCAGGGACTCTAACAGGGAGCACGTGTAACAAACCCACTTCTAGAACTAAAAGTGACCAAATCCAACTTCAATTTGTGAAGTAGGTCAGTATTTATGTTCCTCTCTCTAGCGGGAGCCATCAGATAAACGTTAGGAAAAATGATGTGAAGGAAACTTGTTCTCTCTCAAGACAAAAGCTAACGCACAGCCTTACAAAGAGACACAGCGCCAGCCTGCCCAAAGGTCTTGCACAGGCAGGTTTTCAGCCTACCAGCACGAGAAACAACTCAAACCTTTGCTGTGCCAGCAGCACCAGGGGGATTTCACAGATAAAAACATTCCTAGAACAGAGGAAGAGGGGTAAAACCTGCACTAGTGCAAACTTCAGGGAGCTCCCAAAAAGTGGCGTTTTCCTTGATGGTTAAAAATCTTAGGCATCTTTACTTTCCAGCTGAGAAGCTGCTATCCACACAGAGCCTTGGGGCGATGCAGAAAATTGCACAATTCATTCACTGCCCAAACACCATCGTCCCTGGGCTGGTCACCCACAGCCAGGCGGGCGGAATGAGAATTTGTCCTGGGAAAGAAATGACCCTGCTTGCCCACGCAACAGTTGTCAGTTCTATGCCAGCTCAGAGAACAGGTAGGTGAACGGGTCCAGTCAGAACTCAATAACCCAAATTCCTCATTACAAATCAACACACACATAGAGAAGGAAAAGTAACAGCCAGGAGCTGATAGAAATTAATTTAGTGGGGTTAGACTAGCACTATTTATTCGGTTTTGTTGGAGACACTTATTTACATAATGGAACAGAACTAGAAAGTGTTACACTATAATTAGCAGAAAAGATGGTCAAATTGCTGAGCAGTATTCCTAGTAAACACTGACCTGATCAAAAGCCAGTAAGATTTTTTTTTGATGTAAAATCCCTCTATTCTGAAAGATAACAAAGCCCACAAGATACAGGTCGGTATGGTGAAGTTAACTTACCAAGTGGAGTCAGAAGCAATGCTCAGCCTTTGGAAAGCTAAACCACACCTGGAACTAGTGGTAATGGCAAAGATGAATCAAGTTTGCATAACTCATTTTTTTCTGAAACTTTCTTGATTACTTGGTGGTGGCAACCCCACCAGATTTTCTTGGGACAGGACAAAGTAGAGGTGTTAATGATGGGTCTTCCACCTCTGAGGGAAGCCCTGACCTGTTACAAAATGTTTGCATTTGATTAGTATCTGCAAAGGTGCTGAATTCAGTGAACAGGGATGAAAAAATTGTGTAAAGAAGCCTGGAAAGTACAAAGGTGATAAAACCTTTAATAAATTCAGATTATTTAATGTATAGGGAACAAGTAATTGGAGAGAGGCAAAACCTGTATCTTCATAAGGCCTGACACCTCTTCTGCACCATCTCAGTAGTGATGCGTCTCTTCCCCATCATTTTAATGTTGAAGGGCTTCCACATTTAATGCATTTCTTACAGCACTACTTGAGGTAGATAAATGCTGATAAAGAGCAAGAAATTTAAGTCAGATATTCATAGACTCAATCTACCACCCCATCACTAGAACAACTCCGTTCCTTGTGGCTTCTGGCTCCTGACCAGGGCTGCTGGTCAGCTTGCAGTGCTGGGAGAGGGGACGGTTCGGCTTTGCACAGTTCTGATGAATATTCATTTCTACACTGCTGGCTTTTTTTGTATGCTGATAACATTCTCTCTTGGCATCTCTTCCTTGCAAAGACTTTGCCAGTAGACTGTGCTCTCTTGTTTTGATTTTGTTTTGAGTTCGATGTCCTCACATGGCACCAATTTCAATGCCTTTGAGCTCAACCTCTTTCTGTTCTTAGCAGCACAGTGTTGTCCTGCAGCAAACAAAATTTCAGAGATGGCCAAAGACTGGTCACAAGGGAAAATCCCCCAAACTGGGAAAATGCAATGAAAAATCACATGTGAGTGACCAGAGTTAAATTCCAGAACTTCAGGTTATTGTCAAACTATGGACCACTTCTTTCTTCTGAAGAGCAAAGATTTCCTGCCAAATTTCACATGCAATTTTGAAGAGAAAAATCTGTTTCTTCCTCAATATTATGCAAGAGGACAATGCTGAAGGGACTTGGCACAGGAATCCATCCTGAAAAAAGGATCAAGTTTGTTGTTACTGTTGCATACTATT